TCCTGCAGCCTGTGTGGGATGAGGGGTGCGTGACCCTCCGGTCCGTCTAGGACGTGGGGCGCGGGATCCTGCAGCCTGTGTCGGACGTGGACTGCTGGGTCCTCCAATGTGTGTGGAGTGTGGGGTGCTGGACCCTCCCGCCTGCTGGAAGGATGAATACATCTGTGTGGGTCCCCCTGTCTGCTGGAATGATGAAGGCACGCCAGTCTGTATAAATGGAAAACTGGGTCCTCCCCCCGTCTGCTGGAATGATGAGGGGACACCAGTCTGCTGGAAAGATGAAGGCACCTGGGTCGGTGGGAAAGGGAAACTAGATCCTCCCGCATGCTGGAAGGAAGATGGCATCTGAGTCTGTGGGAAAGGAACACTAGATCCTCCCGCCTGCTGGAAGGATGACGGCATCTGGGTCGGTGGGAAAGGGAAACTAGATCCTCCCGCATGCTGGAAGGAAGACGGCATCTGAGTCTGTGGGAAAAGGAAACCGGGGCCTCCAGGTGGCACAAAAGATGCAGGTACCCCAGACGGGAATGTATGGGAGGAGAGTAATGGGACAAAACCCTGAGTACTGGCCAGGGACATATGATCAACCTGACTCTGAGGGGGTGGGCACATGGCCGAGTGAGGAGACTCACATGTTACTACCCTCGGACGCTGAGACTTCTTACCGGTATCCTTATTCTTCGGTGCCATTTTACCTAGTTATATATATTTTCATAAACAAAGATAATAAAGTCATTGACATAAATATATATTCATTGACAAATTCAATATATACATGTTCAATATATATTCATTAATATTACATTAAGTGATTAATTAATCTAAATCTTCATGCTCGTTATCCATATCATGTTCATCATCCGATGTAATATTGTCCTCGGATTCAAACTCTTCATCATTGTCTTCATCCACATTATTATCAACCAACAATATAGACGCATCAACTTGAAGTCCCTCAACAGTTGTATCGGACAAAGTTGTAATGTCTTCAGCTGCAACCACATCATTAATCTGTTCAACGTCATCAACTTGGTAGGCAACATCTTCCACTAGATCTCCAGTTTCAATATGACCTAGCGGTTTTGTTTTTATTACAACACACCATCCTCTTTTACGTATTACAAATGAAGGATAAGGAACATAATAAACTTGCCTAACAATATGTGACATTATGAAAGGGTCATATTCTTTGTATCTCCGGTTCATTTGAATCTCGACAGAACCATATGACTTGTCTATCTTTGTGCCTCTAGTTGGATCATACCATTCACAATAAAACAAGACAACTTTATTTTCCGTGTCCAAGTAATTGTATACCAACTCGTAGATATGTTTAACAAATCCATAGAAGTCGTCTTCACCGCCATCTGTAACTCCTTTTACAAAAACACCACTATTTATGGTTTTTTTCCCTTCGGTCCATGCCTCAGTGTGAAATTTATATCCGTTCACGAAGTATGTGTGCCAATCATTTGCGCTTTGGATAGGGCCTTCTGCCAAGTTTCTCAAATGGAGTATTTCTGGAGTTAGTGCAAGAACGCTAGACAATGTTTGCTTGAACCATGAGGGAAATTGAGCATGAATGACACCTGATGTTGACTGTACCCCGGTACTATGAAAATAGGCATTGTTAAATTCCCTACAAAAAACACACAATAAGTTTAATAAGTTTGGTATACACACACCATAAGTTTAAAAAGTTTTGGTAAACTCACTCAAGATATGGTTTAACTTCAACGCAGTTGATCAAGACATGGACATGTGCAGATTGCATTTCTTTTTGGGTCAACCAATGCACACCCTTCTTTCCAGAAGGTCGACCTGGTAGCGCAAAGACTGATAAGGTGAATTGACTCCTCTGATTGACATTTACAGGATTCCGTATGTTTCTAGGAGTTAACATCAAGTGATTGAAATAGTGACTGCAAAAATGTGATGTTTCCCGATGCAAGTAATGTGCACATATAGATCCTTCTACTCTAGCTTTATTTTTTACCGATCTCTTTGAATCACCCATGAACCTTTCAAACGGATACATCCACCTATATTGAACAGGTCCACCAAGATAAGCTTCATATGCAAGATGCACAGGTACTTTAGCTTCTTGGGAAGTCAGACTGAAACAAGCCTTGGGTTTTAATAATTTTCCATTCGGTTGAGGCTTCAACTCCAACTCTCTTCGATTACACCAAATTCCCATGTCTTGTCTGGCCTTCTCATTATCTTTTGTTTTTCCTGTCACATCCATCACTGTGTTAAATACATTATCAAAAAAATTCTTCTCAATATGCATAACATCAAGATTATGGCGCAACAAATTATCTTTCCAATACGGAAGATCCCAAAATATACTTCTTTTTGTCCAATTGTGGGTGACGCCGTATCCTTCAATTCGGCATGCTTTCCCAGTATCTGTAAATTTTGGTAGTTCACATACTTGGTTCCATATAACCCCTGGTGGCAATCGAGGCGGAGGCAAATCTTTCTCTCGTACATCTTTTTTAAAATTTGTCTTGTTTCTTCTATACGGGTGATTTGCTGGTAGGAATCTGCGGTGACAGTCAAACCATGAGCTTTTCCCACCTTTATCCAACGTAAATGCTTTGGTGTATCCCATGCAATGCGGACAACCCATTTTTCCATGCGTACCCCAACCATAAAACATGCCATATGCTGGAAAGTCATTAACGGTCCACATCAAGGCAGCTCGTAATGTGAAGTTCTGTTTACGGGATATATCATAAGTCCATTCTCCAATCCACATCTTCTTCAAATCATCAATTAAAGGTTGTAAGTACACATCAATTCCGGCTTTTGGACTGTGCGGGCCTGGAATAACACACGTCAAAAACATGTATGGTTTTGTCATGCACATCTCAGGAGGGAGGTTGTAAGGTGTTACAATAACTGGCCAACAAGAGTACGCACTTCCTGACGCTTGCACGTATGGGGCAAATCCATCAGAGCATAATCCAAGCCTGACATTTCTAGGTTCTGCAGCAAAATCTGGATGTGTCCGATCAAAGTGCTTCCATGCCTCACCATCAGATGGATGTCGCATAGTGCCAGAACTTGTTTGGTTTGTATGATGCCATGTCATTTGACTTGCACTGTGCATTGAAGCAAACATTCTTTTTAACCTTGGTATTATAGGAAGATAAAACATGGATTTTACTGCTACACGCTTTTGCTTGCTGTTAACGACTCTACTGCGAACTTGATATCTTGGACTATTACAAAACTTACACTCCTCTAACGATCCATCTTGAGTACCAAACTCATTGTCATAAAACAACATGCAACCGTTAATGCAACAATCAATCTTTCTTACTTTTAAACCCAACTTCGACACCCACTTCTTTGCATCATAATAACTTGTAGGCAAATTGTCTTTCGTAGCGGTGGAGTCCAACATCATTTTTGCAAAATGTTCCAGACATTGATCAGAAATATTCCAATTTGACTTGGCGGCCAATAATCTCACACACATTGATAGCTTCGAGTCTGACGACCCCTCAAACAACAGCGTATTCATCTCGTTCAATAATTGATAAAATCTTTGCGCTTCCTCATTCGGCAACTCTTCCCCGTCAAAATCTTCAGGTTCATCATATGTCACGTTCACACCAAAAGCATCCTCAACCATGTCACCGATCAAATTAAAGTTCTCCTCATACTCCATAACCGGTCGACTACTTGAAGCATGCGTGTTGCTAGTCTCTGGTACATTAATCGGTAGTTCTTCACCATTATACGTCCAAACCCAATAATTTTCAATGAATCCCCTTCTATGCATATGACGTGTTACTTCCTCTGGGTCACTAATTATTGGTCTACATTCACACTTAAGACAGGGACATCTAACCCCTCCTTCGCTTCGACAACAATCCTGAGCAAACGCCCACTTAATAAACCCATCAACTCCTACTATAAAATTGGGTTTAAGTCCACTTCTTCCTGGATATGTTCTATCGTACATCCAACTGCGATAATACCGATAATATTCCATACTGCACATTTATACAATCATTGTCTTTTTCATTAGAAATATTAATCAACTTAATAATATTATTCTTAAACTATTTAATACTATTCTTAAAAATATAAATTTTGCTTTTTTATATATATACTAACATATAAATAAATATTCAAATGTAAAATATATAATTTTTTATTACATAACAATAATATCAAAAAACAATAATATAACATATTTACTTTTTATTATATATACAACAATAATATTAGAAAACAAATAATGTAACATATATACTTTTTATTATATATATATATAACAATAATATTAAAATAATAATATAATATATATATTCTTTTTTTAATTATGTTTTTTATAAATTCTTATTTTAATATATAATTTTTTTTCCATATCTTTAACATATAAATAAAAAAATAAAACTATTATAATAAATATAATATACATCTATAAAAAATATGTTATTAAATATGTTATTAAATTTATGTTTTCTAAAATTTTTTAAAAAATATATTAAATATGTTATTAAAAAATATGCAATCTGAACAAATATATTTGTTAACATATATATATATATACATCTATAAAATTTTTTTTTTTTAATTTTATGTTTACTAAAATTTTTTATTATCAGTACATATATACTACTAACAAAATACATATATACTTCCTAACCACAAAATACATATACAAATCTAATCTATATAATACATATAAAATCTAAAAAAAAAATGCATAAATACCTCTATATAATTTCTTCAATAAATTTGCGTCTTCTTGGATAGTTCTTGGTGTTCTTCAAATTTCTCTACAAATAATAATGAACAAACGAACAAATACCATTTTTAATATTTCATTCCAGTATAATAAATAATGAACAAACGAAATAAACATTTATCAAAATATGAATACCTTAGTTTTCTTCAACAAATTGGAATGGAAGAAAATTGATTCGGGAAATTGGGTTTGAGAGGAACAATTTTGGGTTTGTGAGGAAGTTGCTGTAATGTTTGAGAGAGGAGCAAGGAAAGGAAGAAGAAAGCACGCTACTGTAAATGAAAATTGTGAACATGTAACTTCTAGTAGCGACGTGACTGTCACGTCGCAACGTTGCCACGTGATAATCACGTCGCTACAAACTAAACATAAATATTATTCTCTCTCCAACACTGCAACTCTGTCATCAGCGAAATTTATTTTTCCCCCAAAAATATAGCGACGTGGCTATCACGTCGCTACAAAAATTCAAATTTCCCCCTGAAAAACGTTCACCAATTTGCATTAAATGTCATTAAAATATATTAGCGACGTGGTTATCACGTCGCTACTACCCACGTGATAAGCACGTCGCTAATATATGTCGCTGGGGACATATATTTTTGTAGTGATTTGATTCTGTGGGTTGGGAAACAGTGTGGTAAAGATCTGAAAATTTATGCAAGGTTTAAGATGAGTGGAGACGGTAGTCTGAGCACTAAACTTCCAGTTTTTAATGGCAAAAACTGGAACAGATGGATGATACAAATGCGTGTACTGTTCGGTGCACAAGATGTTCTGGATCTGGTTACAGATGGTTATGTACCAGCTGCAGCAGATGCCACTGAAGAACAGAGAACTGCTGAGAGGCTGATGAGAAAGAAGGATCAGAAAGCTCTGTTCTATATCCATCAGTGTGTGGATGAAAATGTGTTCGAGAAGATTGCTGATTCAACAACGTCTAAAGAGGCGTGGGATTTGCTGGCGAGATGTTACGGTGGTGACACATCAGTAAAGAAGGTGAAGCTTCAATCCCTACGAAAGCAATATGAGAACCTGAACATGAAGAGCAGTGAGAAAGTTTCTGAATATATCTCCAGAGTGATTCTGATCACTAACGAGATGAAGGCGTGTGGAGAAACTCTGACGGAACAGGTAATCATTGAGAAGATTCTGAGATCGCTCACTCCTCAGTTTGATTATATTGTTGTTTCTATTGAACATTCTAAAAATCTGGAAACCATGAGAATAGAAGAGTTGCAAAGCAGTCTAGAAGCACAAGAGTTGCGTCTGTCTGAGAGAACTTCTGAGAGAGAAGCTGAGCAAGCTCTGAAGGCTTCTTTTGTCAAGAAAGACCAGAAGCAGAGTAGACGTGGTGATAGATTCCAGAAACCAGAAGCCTCAACTTCTGATGATAAGAAGTATCAGAAAGGAAAGGAGAGGTATGACAAAAAGAAGGTTCAATGTTACTCCTGTAAACAATTGGGCCATTTTGCCAGAGATTGTAGGTCAAACAGGGATAGGAAATCAGAAGAAGCATATATGGCTAAGAGAAACTCTGATGATGAACCTGTACTACTAATGGCCTCTGACTCTGATGAAAAATGCTCAGAAGGTTGGTGGTATATGGACACTGGTTGCTCAAATCATTTAACTGGAAACAAACAATGGCTGACAAACTTTGACTCTGAAAAGAGTACAAAGATCAGATGTGCTGATGACAAATACCTTAATGCAGAAGGTATGGGAGATGTCAGAATTAGAGTGAAGAATGGGAAAGACATTTTGATCAGAGACGTCTGGTATGTTCCTGGTATTAGAAGCAATCTGATGAGCGTAGGTCAGCTGATTGAGAAAGGTTTTTCAGTTGTTATGAAAAACAATCTTCTGACGTTGTATGATTCCAATCAGAAGTTAATTATGAAGTCTGAACAAGGAAGCAACAGAACATTCAAGGTGAATGTTGAAACAGCTGAAGCAACGTGCCTTAGTGCAGAAGGTGCTGAAGGTAACAGTAAGCTGTGGCATAAGAGGTTAGGGCACTTAAACTATAGAAGCTTAGGGCATCTATGTTCTAAGAAGCTCGTACGTGGTATTTCGAAAATTGTGAAACCTGAGAAGTCATGTGAGATATGCATGAAAGGTAAGCAACCTAGATTGCCGTTTACATCAGAAGTAGCCCCCAGAGCGAAACATGCTCTGGGAGTAGTACATTCTGATGTGTGTGGACCATTTCCAGTATCTTCACTTGGAGGAAACAATTATTTTGTGTCTTTTGTGGATGAGTTCACAAGAATGACATGGGTAACACTTATCAAGTTCAAGCATGAAGTGTTTACTGAGTTCCAGAAATTCAAGGTGAAGGCTGAGAAGCAGAGTGGTCAGAAGTTAAAAATTCTGAGAACAGATGGTGGAGGTGAGTATAACTCTACAGTGTTTCAGAAGTTTTGTGAGGAGAATGGAATAGAACATGAAGTTACTGCCCCATATACTCCTCAGCACAACGGTCTTGCTGAAAGAAGAAACAGAACTTTGCTTGATATGACCAGAAGCATGCTGAAAGAGAAAAAGCTACCTCATGTGCTATGGGGAGAAGCTGTTGCCACATCAGCATATATTCTGAACAGGTGTCCAACGAAGAAACTAAAGGAAGCTTTTCCTTTAGAGAAATGGACTGGAGATAAGCAGAGTGTCAGTCATCTGAAAGTGTTTGGCTCTGTCTGTTACAAACACGTTCCAGAAGCTAGAAGACAAAAACTTGATGATAGAAGCAAAATAATGTTACTGGTGGGATACCACAGTACAGGTGCGTATAAGCTTTATTGTCCAGCAACTAATAAAGTTGAAGTCAGCAGAGATGTTGTGGTGAAAGAGTCTGAAGCATGGGACTGGAACAAATCTCAATCTGATTCTGGTGTAGTGCCAACACCAGAGTTATCCTCTGAAGTTGTTTTAGAAAGATCAGAAGATGAATCTGATCCTGAAGATTCTAAAGATGAGTCAGAAGAAGATTCTGGCAATAGATCTGATTCTGATCCAGACTCTGATGATGATCCAGAATCTGGTGGTAATCATTGTTCTGGAAGGGAAAACTCTGAAGGTAGTAACTCTGAAAGTAGAAGTTCTGGTGTAGCTTCAGAACAAGCTCAAAGACCATAGAGAATCAGACAAAAACCCAGAAGGTTTGCAGATTTTGACATGCTGCAGGATAATGACGTTGACTCTGAAAGAGAAGTCGTTCAGTGTGCCATGTTGGTAGATTCTGAACCAGTGGGCATTGAAGAAGCTCTCAAGAAGAAAGAATGGCTTAATGCCATGAAAGAAGAACTTGAGGCAATAGAAAGGAACAAAACTTGGAAATTGACTAAACTTCCAGATAAGAAAAAAGCCATCAGCGTCAGATGGGTTTTTAAGTTGAAACTTAAGCCAGATGGTTCCATTGGCAAGCACAAAGCTAGACTAGTAGCTAGAGGTTTTCTTCAGAAACCTGGGCTAGATTATTTTGAGGTATTTGCACCTGTAGCTAGGCATGAAACAATCAGACTGGTGATTGCTTTAGCTGCAAACAGAAATTGGCCTTTAATGCATCTGGATGTGAAGTCAGCATTTCTGAACGGTCCATTACAGGAAGAAGTCTACGTGTCACAACCTCCTGGATTTGTGAAAAAGAATCAGGAAGGGATGGTATACAGGTTAAATAAGGCTCTGTATGGACTGAAGCAAGCGCCTAGAGCTTGGAATCTGAAAATTGATTCATTTTTCAAGAAGCAGAGCTTTCAGAAGTGTGAGATGGAATATGGAGTTTATGTACAACACTCTGATAGCAATATGATTCTGGTGTGTCTCTATGTTGATGACATCTTGCTAACAGGTAGCTGTCCAGAAGATATAAAGAAGTTCAAGGAAGTTCTGATGAATGAATTTGAGATGACAGATCTAGGAAAAATGACATATTTCCTAGGAATGGAGATTATGTACTCGAAGAAGGGTATCATTCTGCACCAGCTAAAATATGAACAAGAACTTCTGAAGAGATTTAAGCTGCAGAACTGCAAAGTTGCTGTGACACCATCAGAAACCAATCAAAAACTGGATTCTGACTCTGATGGTGATTCTGTTGATTCTACAACCTTCAAACAACTGGTTGGCTCTCTAAGGTATTTATGTAATGCTAGACCTGACATTTGTTATGCAGTTGGATTGGTCAGCTGATTCATGAGTAATCCCAAGTGGTCTCATTTTCAAGCTGCTGTCATAATTCTGAGATATATTAAGGGAACTCTGAGATATGGAGTGTTGTTTCCTTCTGAAAGAAAGACAAAATCAGAATTAGTAAGTTACTCTGATTCTGACTGGTGCGGAGACAGAGTGGACAGGAGAAGTACCTCTGGATACTTGTTTAAATTTCTGGGAGGTCCCATTTCCTGGAGTTCTAAGAAACAGCCTGTTGTAGCTCTGTCAACATGTGAAGCTGAGTATATCGCAGGTGCTGTAGCTGCTTGTCAAGCAGTTTGGCTTCTGAATCTCCTGCATGATTTAAAGGTTGAGGTTGAGGAACCTCTGAAGCTGATGATTGCACTACAACATTTGTTGTCTCTGGCAACACTTTTTTAGGTAACATGTAGAAATTGTTGCCTTAAATTCATATAGGCAACGATTTACGATTGTTGTCAAAAATATGTTTGCAACCCTTGATAATCGTCGCCTAAAATACTTTTGGGGACGTTTATGGAGCGATACTCTTTTATTTTTTTGCCAACGGTTGTTAATTGTGCCCTTAACTGCTTTTGGGGACGATTTTAGAGCGTTAAAATATTATTTCTTTAGCAATGTTTGACAATTGTCCCCTAAAATATTTTTGGGGACATTTTTAGATTGTTACATTAGTTCTAACAAAAGGCTACATTTCTGAAATGTTGTATAAATTTTTTTAGAATTATCAAATTTTTGGTGACAATCTTCCCTCCAAAACTTATACACTAAAAAACAAATATTTTTCTCTAAACATTATTAATATATATAAAAAAAAATATTTTTCTAACACAGGAATTTAAAAATAAAAAATTTCAATTAAACAGAAAATAAAAAATTATATATATATATATATATATATATATATATATATATATATATATATATATATATATATATATATATATATATATATATATATATATATATATATATTATATATATATATATATATATATTAGTCTAAAACTTATATATATTTCAATTAAACAGGAATTTTTCTAACACATTATTAATATTTCTCTAAAACTTATATATATATATTAAAAAAAATTTCATTAAACAGAAAATAAAATTTTCTAACACAGGAATTTAAAATATTTTTCAATCCATTCCCATTCCATTCCCGTTCCATTCTTCTCTCGCCGTAAGTCATCTCTATCCCATTCCATTCCTCAACTTGAATAACTGCATCACTTTTCTCACAACATTCTCACTCTCGCTGAATCCAGCTCTCATGATTCCGAAGCAAGTTTGAGAAATCAAGCTTCGCGTAACAGCGACTCCAGTCGTTTATCGCTTACTCACTTCCTCGATCGCAAACTGCATAACTCTTCAACAGTCCCTCAAACCGTTTCGGTAAAATTCTGGATCCAAAATTACTCTTAGGGTTTCGGGCTGATTTAATATATATGGGATATGTTGAAGTGTGTTGATTTGTTTCATTTATTTGTTGTTCGTTTCGAAAGCACGTGTTTCTTTTCTTGGATGAAATTTTCTAATTTGTTTTTGAATAGGGGAAATTGACGCCTTTTCAATCACCGGCCAATGAGCAAGATGGAAGCGTCAAACTAACTGAAGAAGAGAGAAAGTCTGCAACTGCTGATGAGAAGTTGATTTTGGGAATGTTCAAGCAAGAGGGAAATGTGACTTTGTTCCTCCGTTAGATCTTGATGAGTTAGGAAATTCTGTGGCAGGTGATGGTCAAGGAGCTAGGAAAAGGAAAAATCCATTTGAAGGTTTGGATTCCTATCCCAATGAACTTGAGCACGCGTTTTGGCTCTGTTATTTATTATTCTTATGGGAAAGTTGAAACTGTTATTTAGGGAAATAATACAATTAAAGTGTCCTTGTCTTTTACTTTATCGACTAGTTAGTGATTGCAAGTGAGGTTCTTTGTTTAATTTATTGATGTCATAGAGAGATATTTGTTTCAGTCTATTTTACTTGGAATGGTCATGAAAAAAGATTTTATACTGACAACCATTTTAACTTAGGGGAATTTCTCCGCCACCCACTTGTGAATTTGACAAGGTTTTAGGAGCTATTGTGAGGATGGGTCATTATCCCACTGCAATTTCTCTTTTTTCGCAGTTTCAACTTAGGGGAATTTCACCTTCCATTGCTACTTTCAGCATCTTGATTAACTGTTTTTGTCATCAATCTCAGATGGGTTTTGCTTTTTCGTTATTGGGTACCATTCTTAAGAGTGGCTATGAACCTAACATGGTGACTTTTAATACAATTATTAATGGTTTTTGTATTTATGGGATAATTTTTAAAGCTTTGAACTTTTACCAAGACCTAGTAGCCCAAGGGTATCTTTTTGATGAGTTTACTTATGGGATTTTAATCAACGGGTTGTGTAAAAATGGGCAAACTAGAGCTGCGTTGCATTTGATACAAGAGATGGAGGAACGGTCGGTTGAACCGAATCTAGTAATGTATAGTGCAGTCATTGATGGACTATGCAAAGATGGACTTGTCACGGATGCGCTTAGTTTGTGTTCTCGGATGGCTGATAAGGGAGTTTTACTTGATGTTGTCACGTACAACTCTTTAATTCGTGGTTGTTGCAGTCTGGGTCGATGGCAAGATGTAACCCAGTTACTAACGAGATATGTAACAATTTCTTGTCAACAATTTATAGAGTTGGTTGCTGACGTGGTATGTTAATTGATTAGATCCCTTTGCTGAGGCAAATGCTGAGGACTCTGGTGCCGGTGCCGGGACCAAAGAATATGTTCATGTCCGTGTACAACAGCGTAACGGAAGGAAAAGCTTAACAACTGTTCAAGGGTTAAAGAAAGAGTTCAGCTATAGCAAGATACTCAAGGACTTGAAGAAAGAATTTTGCTGTAATGGTACTGTTGTCGAGGACCCTGAGTTGGGCCAAGTTTGTCTTCTTTTTTTCATGCGTAATGTACTATTATGCAATCTTTTTATTTCCTCTCATATAATGTGATTCTGTGTGTATTAATATGATTTATGTTTGGAGATGCCTTCACATGAAAGTGAGTTGAACCATATGTTTGTGTAAAAACTAAAAACCATGGTTGAATTCGAAAGCTATAAATCCAAAAACATCAATTTAGAATCAATTTTTAAGGCAAAATCAATTCTGATAAATTACACCTCAAACATACCAAAATCAAATTTAAGACTTCAGTATCACTTTTGAATGTCTCAAAAATGAATCCAAACGTGCAATTGATAGATGTTTAATCTGGTAGGTGATTTATTCTCATTGTTATCAGTTAAAGCCTAAATGTTAGTTTTGTATGGAATGGATGCAGGTCATACAACTTCAGGGAGATTTATTCTCATTATTATACTCTCAAACATTCTCTATGGTGTTACAAACAGGCTGGCATTGTAAAGAAGGAGAATATCAAGCTTCATGGTTGAATTCGAAAGCTATAATTCCAAAAACATCAATTTCGATCGCTTTATTGAAGGTCATGCTAGGATCAAAAGGTCTGTTAATTTAGACAAAGGTGAAGAAGCAGCAGAAAATAATAAGCCTGTCATATACGAAGACGTGTCTTTGGAAAAAGGTTCTTTCTTAGTGCAACAGGCCATGAGGGTAAGTATGTCCTTTTCAAATGTAAATGTGGATGAAGTCTTGTATATGAAGGATTAAATTGAGAAAGAATGAATGATCCTTGATTTTTTTGTCATAATTAATAACTATTATCATCCACAATGTAAACGGTCACAAGTCTTAATTAAGTGACTATGCTATAAGAGCTTATCATTTAAGTGCTTGTTTAAAAACGATTTCTATAACAAAAATTAAAATGAAGTCAAAATGTTTTTATGTAAGCTATAAAATGTTTATCTGGGTATGGCATTGTTGATGGGAACGTTAGCTCTGCCAAAGCTCATGCTTTTTGTTTTACTTTGTTTATGTTATACTTTTTCTGGCCACTTGATAATGAGCATTTTACCATATGAAATTCAAAAACAGGCATTCCGTGCTCAGAATTTAGAAAGTGCCAAATCAAGACTCAGCCTATGTGCAGAAGACGTTCGTAGTCAGATTGAAAAAGTTGGTAACACTTCAGAGTTATGATAAGATATTGTGTTTAGTGAAATATGGAAAACATTTCTACTTAGAGGAATTTATCTGTCAAGACGAAAAACGTGTCAATAGCCCAATTTAAGAGTCTTTGTGCTTATTGGAGTAAGGAAACTATACAAGTAAGATTAATAATTTTTTTATGTATGTGTGTGAATTTACACCTTTCTATGTATGCCATAATTAAGTAATATTTATTATAATAATTCTGTCAAATTTAAATGTAGGCAATCAGTGAAAATAACACTAGAAATAGAGCTCAACTAAAGTGGATGCATCGAATGGGTCCCAAAAACTTTGCTTTGACTCGTGAAAAAGTGCTAACTTTCTTTTGTTCTCAATAAATTATTCCTTGTATGAATGTTTCTTTGTTCAATTAAAGTATTCGTGAAAAACTTTTCTTTGACTCGTGAATAGGAATTTTAATTCACATAATTTGTTATGGAATTATTTTGATTTGTGCAGTGTGAAAAGGAAAAAAGAGAGCCCACTCAATCAGAAATGTTTGTTGAAACTCGAAAAGGAAATAAAGGAAAGGAACTGGATGTAGAAACTGGAAAAGTAATTGTATGTAACATTGTTTATATAATACGTTTGCTTAATATAATCGGCCAACATTGTCTATAATAGTAGCTAATATTGTCTATAATAGGACGACATAAATGATAAAATTCAAGAGGACGACCTAAATGATAAAATTCAAGAGGACGACGTAGATGACGAATTTCAAGAGGACGACATAGATCTAGATGATGAATTTCAAGAGGAGGATATAGATGGTGAATTTCAAGAGAACGACAAAGATGAAGAATTTATGGAGGATGACATATCTAATGAATTTCAAGAGGACGATCTGGATGCTTTACTCCTAGAAAACAAACTTGAATGAGTTGGATGATGTCTTTTTTTTGCCTTGTAGTTGAAAGCATTAAACTTGAAATATGATTTTTGTTCTTTTGCTGAACTATGTTTTTAGTTATTTTACTAGGGTCATACTTAAAGTATTAAAAGTAATATTGTTACGTTAGGCATTTTGTGTACTCTATATACTATATCTTGAATTAAAGTTTGAACTCGATTTTATTATATTACAACTTTTATGGATGTATGGTTTAAGTTATATAATCAATATTATTTTTGAAGTCAATTATTATTGACTATATTATTTTGATAATAATTGCAAAATTGTATATTTTATGTGGACACTATAAAACAACAACCTATAAGCTATGGCTACACTTCAAAAACGATCTTCCTGATTCAGGTTTAAGGCAACGATTGTTAATTGTAGCCGAATTTGGCAACACAACGCTTAAAAAATGTTGTCTTAGAGGCCGTAAATAATCGTCTCCTATTCCTTTACTATATGCGACGTTTTTCAAAAGCGTTCCCAAAAAACATAAAAAAACGTTGCCTCAAACAATAGGCAACGCTCGCACAGGAGACACCCAGAAAACGTCCCCTATTGTATTAGGCAACGATTTTCAGAGTTCTGGCAACGTTTTTCAATTGTTGCTGGAGAGCCTAAATGTTGTAGTGTTGATAATAAATCTGCAATTGACCTTGCCAAGAATCCAGTGTTACATGGAAGAAGCAAGCACATTGAGACGAAGTTTCACTTCCTCAGAAATCAGGTTCAGAAAGGAGTGTTAGAAGTTCTGCATTGTAGCACTCAGAAACAGCTTGCAGATCTTCTGACGAAGGCAGTTAAAACAGATCAATTTCTTTACTTAAGAGATGAAATTGGTGTTGTCAACTTCTGATGGATTGTCTAAATTAAGGGATGGTATTGGAAACTAATTTAGTCAAAGTTATTGGAAATGTAACTTATTTAATGTCCACAATTCCCAATGCTTTCTCTTAGTTAGAGCCTTTTGGCATTTTAAATTACTAGTATAAATATGTTATCTAGGCTATCAATATTGTATCCCTCATTCATCCTCTATTTGAATACAAGAAGTAGTCCTCTTTGTTATCATTCATTGTTCATTATTTATCTCTCCATTTCATTACCTTGCACCAACAAGTGGAAGGGCTCTGGGGGATTCAGGGGATTGGTGCGATAATGGTAAATGTATATGCGCCTTGTGATTCCAACGGTAAGAGGAGATTGTGGAGTGAGTTAACTAATATTTTAAATACAAATCCAGAGGAAAAGTTGTGTGTGATGGGAGACTTCAACGCGATAAGATCAAAAGAGGAAATGAGAGGTGTTGAAGTGTTCCATAGAAGAGATGAAATGGCAGATTTTGAAGAATTTATTTCTAAAGCGAGCCTAGTGGATTTACCGCTAAGAGGTAGGCTTTTTACCTGGTCCAATTTGGAAGGGAATTTTATGAGTCGAATTGACAGATTCTTACTTTCGGAGGAATGGATGCAGTAGTGGACGAACCGTCAGTAATGGTGCTTAGCCAAAGGGCTATCTGACCATTGCCCTATCATGATTTACGATAAATCAGTAAATTGGGAAACTAGGAGGAAAAAATGAGATCTTGTGTGTAAAAACAGATAATGAAACTTTGATCGAAGTTCAAGAGATAAAAACAGAGGTTTTTGACCATTTTTCGAAGATGTTTAGAGAAAGTAAAGTGAACATGCCAACACTCAATAACTTCGATTTCAAGAAAATTGGAAAAGAAGATAATGACAGACTTATAGCGGGTTTCATTGAGGAAGAGGTGAAAAGAGCAGTGTGGGATTGCGATAATTCTAAGAGTCTCGGTCCCGACGGTGTTAATTTCGGCTTCATTAAGGATTTTTGGGAAGTGATAAAAGGGGATTTGTTCAAGTTTATATCAGAATTCCACTCAAATGGTAGGCTGGAAAAAGGAATCAACGGTTCTTTCATCACCTTGATATCGAAAGTGGAGAACCTGATGAGGCTTACCGAGTTTAGACTTATCTCTCTAATTGGGAGTATGTATAAAGTTTTATCTAAACTACTTGCAAATAGGCTAAAATCAGTAATGCACCAAGTTATTTCAGAGTCTCAGTGTACTTTTTCTGAAGGGTGACATATCAGTGACTGTATAATTATAGCCAACGAATTGGTGGATGATGCAAAGAGGAGGAAACACGAAATAATTCTGTTTAAAATGGACTTTGAAAAAGCATACAATTCGGTGGACTGGAATTATCTTGACTTCATGATGTAGAAAATGGGCTTCAGTTGTAAGTGGAGGAATTGGATTAAAGAATGCGTTCGTACAATGTCTGTTTCAGTGTTAATCAACGAAAGTCCTACTGAAGAAATATTGATGGGAAAAGGATTGAGACAAGGGGGCTCGTTATCCCCGTTCTTATTCCTTATAGCGGCAGAAGGGTTGAATATTATGATGGTAAAAAATGTTTAGAGAAACCTTTTCAAGGGGTACAAGTTTGGAAAAGAGGAAGTCCATTTGTCACATATCCAATTCGCGAATGATACTATTATTGTAGGAGAAAGGAGCTAGAAGAATGTGTGGCCAATCAAAGCTACTCTTCAACTGTTTGAATTAGTGCCAGGACTAAAAGTTAACTTCCATAAGAGCTTATTAATTGGTATTAACACCTCGCAAGAATGGTTAGAGGAAGCGATTGCTGCACTCAATTGCAAGGTGGGAGAAACACCATTTAAATACTTAGGTATCTATATAGGAGGTAACCACCATAGGAAAGTAATTTGGAAACTGGTGATAGATTCGGTTAGTGGTAGATTGGCTGCCTGGAATAATAAACACCTATCAATTATAGGTCGCATTATCCTTTTGAAATCCGTATTGTTTGCGCTGCCATTATATTATCTATCATTTTTCAAGGCACCTAAAGGTATTATTCATAAGACGGAATCTATGTTTAAGAATTTTCTTTGGGGTGGTGGATTGGAAAAGAAGAAAATTAATTGGGTTCAGTGGGGGAAAATCTGTCGAAAAAAAGGAAGATGGAGGATTGGGGTTTAAAAACTTAGAGGCGTTTAATTTAGCATTAGTAGGTAAATGGAAGTGGAGGTTGATCAATGAGAAGAGGGCTCTGTGGGTTAGAATACTAGAGTGGAAGTATGGGGTAACTGGTCAAGAAGAGGAGAAGGTTGATAAATTCAGCTCCTTTTGGTGGAGAGATTTGTAGATACTGGATAAGCAAAAAGGTATTTTTATGGATAAGTGGTTTGATAACAACCTCTCTAAAGTTATCGGGGATGGAACGAAAATATACTTTTGAAAGGACCCTTGGCTGGAAGGTGTGAGACTGAAGGATAAATCTGGACAGACTGAGCCATCTTCCTGAAAAATCTCAGAATTAACCAAACTGCATATCTGTTAGATCAGTACAGGATGTCTTAACATTTGTTATGACATCAGAATTCCTGTTTACTGATTTTGGTAGAAGGCAATAAATGTGATCATTTGCAAAAATGCTCAGATACACACTCATAAACAGTAGCTACTGTATGCCATATTTTTTCTGCATAAAGTACCTAATAATCCAGAATGTTATGACATCACTCATGACATTCACACACCTGGTTTTACCAAAAATACATGCCAATAACTAAACACTTACAATCTGGAAGTATCAGAGGGCAGGGTTGTGGATTTTTTTGGACAACTGGGCGGAAGGATCAGGGCTTCCTCCATCAATGATATTACTCCAGAATTTATCTATCTCATCCTGCATAAAATATCTTATAGGGAGTTCAGGCATAGCATCAAAGCCACATTGAAAACCTAGTAAATCGGCAAACTCCTTATGATTAAAGGTGTATTCAATTCCAAACATTCTGATGGCCTTTTTGAAAACCTCTACCAATGTATGGTTAGTAATTGAATGAGCTTAGGAATTCCAGGGTAAGGTTTCTGTAGGTGACATTCATGGCATCAGCATATTCTTCTCATTGAAGTTGACTACATAGGTACCTCACACTTGGATCGAGCCTTAAAGTTTCCATGCAATTTTGGTCGGGGTATCGGGTAGGAAACATGGGGTGCTGAGATAGGACCACATATCTCTCTCTTTGCATTTCATCTATGAAAATAACGTGCATATCATCGAAACTCTGCATCCTGAAATATACGATTAGAGGAGAATGCTATAGAGAGTGACAAGACCTGAAAACATAAACATTATGAAAGTTAATCTAAAATAAAATTAACTTATAAATATAAATGCAAGAAAACCATGAGTTTCCTCCCATGCAGCGCTTGTTTAACATTGTTAGCTTGACGAATAGAACTCGTAGGGACCGGTGGATTGATCAAAATGTGACCTAAGTAGTCAGCAGGAATGTCACCTCCTTGATAGTGCTTTAACCTTTGCCCATTTACTATAAAGGGATTACAGGAGTTGTTCCTGATTTCAACTGCTCCATATTTGTAGAATTTTAGAGACCTCATAAGGGCCACTCCATCTTGAACACAACTTACCAAGAAAAAGTCGCAACGTGGAGTTAAAAAGGAGAACATGATCACCTATATTGAAGTCTCTTTTTACAATTATTTTATCATGCCATGCTTTAGTTCCTTCTTTATATATTATGGCATTTTCATGGGCATTTTGACGGAGTTCTTCTAGTTTATGAATGTCAAGGATGCGCTTTTCACCTACTTCTAAGTAATCTAAATTCAGGGTTTTGGTGGCTCAATAGGCTTTGTGTTCTAGCTCAAAGGGTAAGTGACAGGATTTTCCATAAACCAATTGGTAAGGTGTGGTTTCTTTAAGCTTTTGAGACCAATCTTTCCTAGATATTGAAACTATCTTTTCTAGGATCTGTTTAATCTCCCTATTAGATACTTCTACTTGACCATTAGTTTGTGGATGGTATGGTGTTGCTACTCTATGCTTAACTCCATATTTATTTAAGAGTTTGTCAAAAATCTTGGATATAAAATGTGATCCACCATCCCTTATAACAAG